GGACTGTGACACTTGAGCTCAGCAAATGGGGACCAGAAACCAGGACATGCCTGAAGGATGCCCCTTCCCAGTTCTGTTTGTGTGTGTGAGTGCGTGAGCACGGCCGAGAAACCCAGCCTTTCCGCTGGCTATGCAGTTGGAGCTAATTGTGGTTTTTGCCTTAAAATCTAATTCCAAACTAGGCTGAGTTAAAAGAGAAAAAAAAAATAAATGCAAAGCACAGTGTCTACCAAACAGACTGGTAAAATTCCACAATAATCACTGGGAATATTGCTCTAGAGCAATAGAGAAGATAATTTTATCCAGGATGCTCTTCTTCTCTTTGCCTGAACAGCAATTTGGCATATAATGTTCTAGGCTATATTCCTCCACTGAGAAATGAGGTACAGAAGCCCCTCTACCACCCAGATGATGGGAACTGCATAAGGAAATCAGAAACTAAACAAATAAATGAAAAGCAAACAAACATCTCTTAAGTGGATAAGTAGGACATGCTGCTAGTGGGACAGAATACAATAAGGAAATTAACTTGGCTTATCTAATTTTGGCTGCAAATTGCGAAGTGTTCATAAGGGGGAGAAATAAGTAAACATTTTTAGATTGGTGCTTGGGACTAATGTTTATAGATTTATTTTTTTTTTTTTTTACCTCAGAATGCCAGTGAAGATAAAAACAGGGTATAGTTGGCTTAAGTAACATGGAGGAAGTCTTGGTGATCCTGATGATGATGATGAAGATGGAATGACAATAGTGCACGAATGAATTGCTGAATAGAAAGGATGAGTGGTGGTAGTGTCTGGAGCGCTCCTGCTTTGCTGAGGCGTTCAGCTTGTAGTCCTATTTTGTTAACGCCAAGAGATGAAAAAAAAGACTAATGTTACAGTACCTACATTCCAGTAATGTGTGTCTGTCTTGAGTATGTAAATATTATGAAGCATTTTCCCTCATTTAGTAGTAATTGCTTCTAAATCAGCAGCTAACTGGCTTTATTTTTTGGACAATGGGACAGAGTAAGCATCTGTTGTTCAAAAAAAAAAAAAAAAAAAAAAAAAGATGCACAGCATTCCTGGAAAAGATAAGGCTTGAGAATTGTGTTAAATTATGATTTTTTAATTTATTATGGGTGCTTTGATGCATGGCAAACAAATAATTTAGAAAAAATCTAGGTGTAGCCTCCAAAACAGGAATGTTGTAAATTGAAAACATTTATGGCTGCTTTTCTAATTCCAACCCGAGTATTTAAACAAAAGGCATCTCAATAAAATCCCCGTTGAAAGCATGATTTACTTGCAGGCACGAAATTCTAAATACATAATAATCAACAGGGCAAGCAGTATAATGTTATACTGTTAATGCTAATTAAGCTTCCTAATGTAAAATCTGACTTTTTATCTAATTTTTTTTGTGTATCACCGATGAAACTTTGCTGTTAAATCGAATTTCATTGTTATCAGGGATATATGAAAATATTTATTTTTATACACTTATGTTACTGAAAGCATTTTATTGTAGGTAAAATTACACCAGAATCAAAGCTGTTAAGAGCCTTTGCAATTTAAATGAACAGTAGACCTGGAATGCAACGATTATTTGAACTCTTCTGGTAGTAGAAACTCATGTACTTTAACAACAGAGATAAGTTTGCAGTACAAACTATTTCTCTCTGTAGATCTGAAGCAAAGTTCAGGAAACGTCACATCCAGTAAAGCATTTAACATCTTCAGGAAAGTGCTTAGGTGTTTCTAAAGTAGGACGTCACTGTCTTACACGACTGCTTTAAAGCCTGCAAAGTTTGCGGACTCCCTCCTCCCCAGCACATTTACAGGTGGGCTCTAGTTTTGCAAAGGTCTTGAGGAATATCAAAGAGGTATAAGCTCAGTTTCAGACCAACACCTTCTGGGTTCTAGGCAGATTTTAGAAATGTCATGGAAATTATTTCAGTTCATCTGAACTTCAGATAATTAGGAGCCAAGAAACCAGGATTCACCTTTACCTTTCCTATATGGTACAATACATGATCACATGTTTGAGACAGATGCCATGATGGGAAAATGAGCATGCACCACTACTATTTCCACATTCACTAAAACTTATAATGGCTCATGTGAGATAAAACAAGAGACCAAAAAAAGAAAAACGACTTTGTGTAATCATTGTAAGACTAGTGTAATAAAAACCTTGCTCCTGAAAGCTTGAATTGTTTCAACAATGTGTAGCGAACATATTTGGTTATACAAAGCAAAAGCACAACTAAGTTAACAACTTTACACAAAGTCAGATATCTGAAAGGGGATCTTTTAAAAAAAAACTTTATTTGAGAAAGGAAGAGACTTATATCAGAAGGCAAAAAAAGGGAACATACAAACAGAATATATTTACAACACAAAACAAGAGCTCACCTCTAAGGGTGTAAATTATAATAAATACAGTAGATTTAAAATGTAAGAGACAATTATCAAATAGAAATGTGGTTGTTTAAACCCAGTTTTCCTTTTCACTGGTTCCAGGTAGTTTCTCTATTTTAATTTTATCCAAATTTGAAAGAGTCTGAAATTAAAGTTCACTAATGTATTGGGGTTTCTCACCTGAATGGCATTATAAAAATATCTTTTGTCCTTTGTGAATACATGTCTTTGAAGTGATATTGTACAAAAGTCTTCTCATTTGCAAGTTTCTCCCCAAATAAAATGTATTTTAAAACATGCACTATCCCTTTTTGGTGAGGCTGAACTTAGGCTTCAAAGAAAATTAAAATTATACCGGATGGGAAAACATATAATTTGATTCTTATATGCTTCACTTTTTGAATGTGATTTTTTTTCATCCAAGGAGTAAGATTTCTGTTCAAATATGAAGAACACATAAAAATCACCTGCATTTTCTCAAATAATAAATCTTTCCTATCTAAGATGACCTTTGTGTTTCAGGAGGCCTTTCATTTTATAGCAACTATTTAGTCATTTGTTTGGAGATCTTCTAGGAAAAAGGATAATGTATCTTTAGAGGTTGCAACATTTTATAAGAGATTTAATAGTATTAGAGCATAATGTAAACAACACAGCCTAATAACGGATTTTAGAACAATTTCTACATTTGGCAAAACAGCTACCTCTTTTGAAACAGGATACTGCACCTTAAAATACCTCAGCTTTAGAAATATAAATATTTTTAATAGAAAAAAAACCTGACAAGGATTCCAGGTCAGTTTGGGATTATCCATATTAAAGGGGATCTTAATACAATGAATCTTTAACTAGCTTAACAAAAGTAAACCTATAAAACAAGGTAAACATATCAAAAGGGAATATGAAGGAAATGTTTCACTGGAAAGCTTCCTTAACAATTTCCCTACTCGCTTTGTTATTTTCTTTGACAATAAATCAATTCATAGAGTGCCTTTAAAAACAGAGGGAGCGCTGCCCTGTCCCCCCCCCCGCCCCACATTCCTCAGCACATGAACACTTGGGCTTCCTGTTTCCATAAGGCATTTCCTGCCCCCCCTCCCAAAATCACTTTTCTGCAGGAGAACAGCAGGGACCTGACAAAGTCGAGACTTAAATAAACAAGGGCCTTCCCCTGCATCCAGCCTTGCTCTGCCTGATCTCACGGCAACAGAAAGGGACGCCAGCTCGCTGGCTGCAGAAATGCACGGCGCTTTTCAGCTGTGGTGAAATGCTCACCGACAAGCTGAAGTCTCCTCTTGCCAAGTCGGCATTTTATGCACAGTCATTACTTTAGTATTTGCCCATGAGATCTAGCGGTGAAGGTTATGCGATATTGTATGATTAGACTTTATTTAAAAAAAGAAACGCCCCACATTCCTCAGCACATGAATCACTTGGGCTTCCTGTTTCCATAAGGCATTTCCTGCCCCCCCTCCCAAAATCACTTTTCTGCAGGAGAACAGCAGGGACCTGACAAAGTCGAGACTTAAATAAACAAGGGCCTTCCCCTGCATCCAGCCTTGCTCTGCCTGATCTCACGGCAACAGAAAGGGACGCCAGCTCGCTGGCTGCAGAAATGCACGGCGCTTTTCAGCTGTGGTGAAATGCTCACCGACAAGCTGAAGTCTCCTCTTGCCAAGTCGGCATTTTATGCACAGTCATTACTTTAGTATTTGCCCATGAGATCTAGCGGTGAAGGTTATGCGATATTGTATGATTAGACTTTATTTAAAAAAAGAAAAACCAAACACCCAAACAACAAAACCAAGTGATGGGGTATCAGACGATAGTGATAACAGTTCTGTGCTTTTCCTGCAATATCCTAACAACTGACTGGAACCTAATGCTGCATTTTGCTTCTCACCAGTATTTGCATCTGCTTCCTTTAAGGATGTCTCTGCGGACAGTATCAGCAAATAAGACAGAATGAAACAATTAACTAAGCAGTGCAAAAAAGAAAACAATGCAATTTTTAAACAGCAGTGCCTTGCCTTGCCTCTTTACACCCACCTTGTATTCTCTAAATTATACTTTATACACCAGCCTGGGACCACTGATATAGCAGTCAGTACCTGTCTACAGGGGAAAAAATACCCTAATGTTAACAGTGTTCAAGACTACAGTATGATACAGTATATACAGATAGCTGAAAGCAAAAGTCAGAGGATTCAAAATCAGAGAAGAAGAATGTTTCATCAATCAGGTCTGGAAAGTAATTCCAGCAATTGCTGATCTCAACAAGCTACATGACATGAGTTCTCTTTCACCAGAATGAAGTGACGTAACGTAACCCTGGGCTAATACAAAGTCTATCAGCTATTATGCAAAGATTTATGTAGAATAATTGACTGCAACAGGTATTTTCTCAGTTAGTGGCTGTAAGGATGAGCTTTGCTATGTTTCAAGCGTGCATACAGCACTTCTGCCTTTGTTAAATTCTTTGACCGGTAAATCAGTGAATTAAACCACAATTGCTTATCGAAGCCTAGAAAATGCACGTGATGTTCAGATAATAACCTTAATTACAAATCCTGGAGCTAAATCTTTGCCTATTACCTGTTGCATAAAAGCAGCCTGCTCCCCAGATTCCATTTGCTGGGTTTGAACATCCTCATCACTGTCCGGTGGCTCCTCTTTGACTTTCACAGCCCCCACCTGCTGTCCTATTCTGTCATCCGCACCAGCACTGCTGCTCTCAGCCCTAACGCTGGCACCGCTGGCGGGGGCTCGCTCTTCCTGCATCGAGTGATCTCCGTGAAGCTCTTCTTCAGCTTCCTCCAGGTGACTGCCAGGCTGCTTGAGCTGCTCGATGGACTTAGAGAGCATCTGGAAAGAGAATGGGGGGGGAGGGGGGGGAAACAGTTATTGACGTCTTTCCCTCGTGCCAAACACCAAGAAGTACCAGATTTGCACCGATAAAATTAAAGCTTCCGCAGCAAACCCAGGTAGCTATGCCTTGCTGAAGCGTTAAAGTACAGAGAAAAAAAGAATGAAAGTTCTTAGGCAAAAAGTCACTTATTATTCTGCAGTAGAAAATACCATGTATGTAGAGGGTGCTATACAGTAACACTAAACTAAAAATAAGGCAGAATAATGAAAACATTAACACATCTGTTACACTGTTCAGCTGGTAATCAAGAGAAATTGGTCTCCCTTCATAGCCTTCGAACCTAAGTGCAGAAATTTATTTAACGATATTACAGTTCATTTTCCACAACACAAAATAATGAAAGAAAGAACTCTAAGAAGTGAGAAAATTAGTAAACTGGTTAATATTTCGCTACAAGCAAATCCAGGAATATTCACACAAGCTTCTCTGTCAATTAAAGCATGAAGGCACTGAAAGTCGACAAAGGAGTGGTGACAAAGGAGCTGCTGTCTGTCACCTCTCCTGTGGCGCAAGGAGACTACAGGCATGTCTGTCCGTGACTTGGAACGACTGCAGCTTTTGTCACGCATGGTACAGGTGTCCCTGTTTTGGCAGTGATGCCGTAACACAGCTACCCAGGCAGTACTGGTTTTACACCATGAGCTGCTATTCTAAAGCGTTGCTGAGGTGCCAGATGCCTCAGTGTTGCAATCAAGTACAGTTTACATTTTACTATTTAAGATGCAGCAAATTTATTTCAAAATAGTTCAAATGTGAGCCGAAAAGCCAAAGCTGAAAAAAAATGAAATCCCCACTTTGTTGAAAGAGGCACAAATCAGACATGTGAGTGAGCATCTGCGGGGTCAAGTGAGTAATTATCATTTATTCAGCTGGCCCACTTGATTTCAAGCAAATACTGATTTGTATCACCAAGATCAAATATACTGAGAGGGGGAACCCCCCCCCCACCACCACCTTTTACCACTACTCTGTCAAATATACTGAGAGGGGGAACCCCCCCCCCCACCACCACCTTTTACCACTACTCTTACATACTTTCCTCTTTCCATCTGCCTCCCCCACAACTATCAAGTCTTTAAACTGAGTTTTAGCTTGTGCTGTATGTTGAGTTACTGGATGGCTTCAGTGTAGCTATTTTTGTCACAGACAGTGGACCGTCTAGTTTCACTCCACTTGCTAACGCGTATTAGAAAAATGCCACCCTAGTGAAGGGCAGGGTTGTCACGTCAGCTATGATCAAGAAGCTACAGCTGGCTTCAAGAACTCCCACAAAGTCAACAAGAAGAGCTGAAAGATCTGTTTGTGCAGTTCCAGTTGATGCTCTGATGCATACGCCTCACATCAGTGCAGAAACAAATTCCACAGTGGAAGTCTGCAGGCTTCGGTCACAGCAAACCTTCATTTTTGGGGAGTAATGGGAGTTTAATGGCGAACTAAAAAGAAACAAACAGAATTCCCTTTTCATTGCTGTCATAACCGGCAAATCACAACATGTGTCTCCTGCATGCTGCAGGTGGCATGCTCTAAGCTGCGGAATCCTCACTACTGCAGCTAATGCAGAGTGTCTCCTTTTACTAAGCAGCATCTGGAAAATTTCTCAGATCAAATGCGTAAATCTTTCCCAGTTGTTTCTCAGGGGATGATGCTGACGAAGAAGGCACCAAAGCTAACTACGTGTATTCAGCTTGGGTACACTCCTCTCTGCTGCTTAGTTAAACATCTGTGGGCGAGCCCTCTCCGCTCCTCGAGCAAGAAAAGAAAAGGCAGGTTTGGCTGAAGCTGAAACATCTGTGTGACAGATAATCATATACAGCTAGGAGAGTCACCGACACTGATCCATCTGTAAACCATTCCATGTGCCAGTTACTTGACATCAGGTGGGTTATTCTGGAGGGGAAGCCAAGAGAAAATGAGTGCATGTCCACAGCAAAGTTAAGACACATATTTAGCTCATTACTGCTCTCCTTTCTTTTATGCTTTTTCACTTTTATGTCAGGCTCTTTCTTCTTCACACTGCTGTATGGCACAGATCTGCTGCTGAGCTTTCTGAGGCAACACGTGATGGCCTGCAGTATATAATCCATACGTGGAACACCTTCAAACGCTTTTGGCATGTAATCAGCAGAGTGATACAAGCACATGCAAGGGGGCTGCGGAGCCTAGGGTGGTATTTGTGTGCATTTCGATTGCAGTGTTCCTGTTTTGGGGTCTGCTCCCATGCCATGGAAGTCAGCAGGCGATTTGCTCCAGACTTTGGCGACAGGAGGAGCTAAACAAATTAAATTTTCTAAAACTCTGTGAAATGAAAGTCTTATATATATTTACACAGTCGATTTTACAGAGTGCATTCATATTATCATCTTTACTGCAAAATCTTATTAAAAACATCCTTTACTCGGTGACTCTCAGCCTCAGGCAAGGGGCTATGAGGCACTATAGCCAGGTCCTCTCATGTGACGGGGCGTGATAAAAATGAGTGGATGGCATGGGGCAGGGGTGAACAGGCCACTCAAACCCCAAACCCCACTGCTTCTGCTCAGTCTGCTAAGCCACAGCTGACTGCTTTCTCTGTATCACCACCATGCTTTCATATTTGTTAAAGTGGTTTCTAAAGGCAGTGTGGCCTCATCTTATTCCAGTAATTACATTAGTAGCATTACCAGGAGACTGTTCAGTTCTCCTAAGTCAGAAACATCTTATTTTATATTAAATCTCCTGGTACTACCGTGGAAAATTACGTATCTGGAGACATGCAAAGATATCAGTTTAGAGTCAATATTTCTATCTTATCTCTCTATCTAAAGCTGGATTACATAGCAGAAAATGAGTCCTGAATGAAACACTGCTGAAGTCCTTTCACTGTACAAAGTGGATACTTCTACTTAAATGTTTAAATCTTTCACTTTAAATCCCCACTTACCCTTTTTTTCTGAATTTATCTGTAGGTACATGCAGGACTTTCTCCTTATTTTGAAAAAGTGAATGCTTAATCTGAGTTTTAATATGACTACATTAAAAAAGAATAATAAAACCATGGTTTATTTCACTAATAAATTAGAGTTGTACACACTGGTCCTCTTGAACCAGTACACTTTTCTGTTACTGCTACTCCAACTAAAGGAGTCACTCAAAAAAATGGTTTCATGCTAATGTAACCTATATTTTTTTCCTTTTATTTTTCAGGAAATTAAACTGTAAGGGATATGCATGAGCCAAAGTAAATAGTGGCAGCAGGAGAGGAAGCATTTACAGACATCAGCTCCATTGTATAACTGCAAGAGTCCAACCAAAAGACATCAAACACAACCTAACCTGCTTTCTTGTACAGAAAAATGGAAGACTAAGTATAAATAATCTGGACATCACAACAGACCATTTTATACAACCTTCAGTTGCTGCCTTTGTTTTCTCCTTTGTAATGACAAGCTCTTGTAAAACACAGTATTTTAAATAAAATGTCTTTACAAAGAGACAAAGCACAAAATCCTGCAACAGCCACCCCATGCATTTCTTTCCTTAATTAATTGTTCATTTTAAATACATGTCAGTCGTTTCTAAGAACTCACGTCTATACTTACGGAACAGACTTTTTCGCCTTCTTTCCTATGGCTATCAGACTGCTTTGACCAGCTACGTGTGTTGTTAGCTGTACTGAACCAACCTGGCACCTGCTTACTGTTGTCTCTGTTACTCCTGTAGTACAACATTTCTAAGGGATGTATTTATCTTTCAAAATCATTCTTCTGCATTATGGCTCAAATGTTAGTTCTCAGTAAAGAAGAACATGCTCTGGGCATTTTTCGGTTCTAAACAGTCAAGTGTTGCTATAGTTTTGTCCAAATAATCCCCTGCCATAAGCAAAATTTGAAAAAAGAGATGTGCTATCTCTCACCTTCAGAACATGCTAGTCAGATGTGTAAGCTGGAAAGCCAAAACCTCAGCTGTAATGTGTTTAATAAGCCTGGATTCATTTATCCAGCTGAACATGATCCAGTCTTCCCTATTTCATTAAATATCGTTCAGAGAAGTGAATGATTAATCTGGGGTTAATTGTCCCTTTTCAATATTCCTACTGAAAGCAAATAACCTTCCTATTTTTTCCATTAATAAATCAGCATAAACTTCCATATTATTTTTCATTTTTTTATTAACAGATATTGGTCAATTATGATCACCATCCAAAGCACTAATGAATTTTCAGTTCCTATATAATTTGTCATGGATTTTTTGCCTCACAGTCTTGCACAATCACTGGTTCCCTATACAAAGACGCTTTAAACCAATTAGCATCCTGGAATGAAAACTGAAATTCAGGTACTCCTTATCTAAGCTTTAACATGATCCGTACTGCTCCCATACTCTAGTGCGCACTACCAACTGCCCCATTGTTTTAACCTTTACTAATCCAATACAGAGGAGGATTTTACCATTGAAAATAAATTGTCAAAATACATTATTTTAAGAACACATTTAGGGTTCCCACACTGATCAAATAAAATCTTGGTCCCTGTGAAGACAGTGCTAGTTTTGCTTCAGTAGAGGCAGGTGTTTATTCATCATACTCTTCACATTACGATTTCTGAGATTTTTCTCGAACGCAGGCTTCATCTAGGGGCTTTGCACTTACATGAGTTACATCAAAATCACCCTTTTTTTCTGTAAGTGCCAGAGTCAAAGCTTTCTAGATACAAATACATCAAGATTTTAAGGTTTTTATTGCAGTATTGGTACCCAATTGCAATAATTTTAACTGGGGGTTTCAGACTTTGGACTACCTTTATTGAGCAGAATGAAGATCTGCAATGGAGATCAAAGGGCCTTACGAGGAAATAAGCTGTCATTTGGACAGAAGTATATTAAAGCTGACAACGGCAAAGCCGATCTTCCCTAAGACAAGTGGAGTTCAGGTTACTTCACGTTCATTATTATTTTTTCCCCAGAAAGCTGGGACGAGGGCTTCTACCTACTTTTGGATGGGATGTCAACATTTGCAGAATGTTTTCAGAAGGTCAGTGTACTAGATCCCGCAGGTATAAACGTCAGACTTCAGTGGAGACGGATACCGTTTCCCACATCAAAAGCCTGGCATCTGACAGCTGACCAGAAATAATCCATAGGGGATCTTCTCTTTGTTATTAAGGACAGAGGCACACCTCTTGGCAATGATTTGTTTCCTTTCAGAATGGAAATGATCCAGGGGAATTCTTTACCTCTGACCTATGTTAGATTTTGCTTGTTATCACCCTCACAGCAGCACCGGCTTGCTGCTGAACTATATTCTTTTCTCAAAGAAAAGAAATGGCTTTTTAATACAAGATAAATACAAGATCAATGGAGTATGGAGAAACTTGCTCTCTTCCTCTTTATGTTGTTACAGCAAGATTCACCTATATGTCTGCTAAAAAAATCTGACCAAAACCAGTTTTCAGGGAGTGCTGACACATGCCATACCATCTTAGTTCAGGGCAAACATTCAAATACTGGGTTCAGTTGAAACATGCTAAAGCTGTAAGTACCTGAAGTCCTAAACATAAGGAAAAAAGGAAAGAGAAATGGAAAAGAAAAAGAAGATACTAACTTGTTCTAAGCTCCTGATCAACCGGCATTTCATAGTCTTGTCAGCTTAAAATGGTTCTGGTCTTTCTCACCAGAACTTTTAAGAGAATGTTTGAATATTCTTTATTAAAAAAACCCAAACAACCAAACTACATTTTTCATGACCCAAAATGAGGGAATTATACCTCTGTGCAGATTTCATTACACAGCCTATGAACAGAAGAGTAAGGGACAAAACAAGAAGTTTATGTATTCACTTGATACAAGCCCAAACTTGTCCTAAGAAATGAGAATATATTGGCTTGCTTTGCTACATGGTCTAGAATATCTACTGTTTTAAGGTTCAAATAACTCCACTTTGCAGAGTTTAAGTTTGATTGTAAAGCCATGCAAATTATATAATGAACAAATAACTTCAACTGCAAATAGAGGCAAGTTTTAAGATTGAACAAAGTATATTCCACCATGCTAGCAGAGCACAAAAACCTTATGAAGGCCCAGGTATTCAATTTGAACCTTTAAGTTAAAGGGTTAAAGAATATAGTTTTAAATTCAGTCTTTAAAAGCCACTCCAGGATTTGATCTTTTCTCACTCTCTTGTCTATGGGCTACCCTTAAATTCCAGTTTTTAAAAAGCAGGTTTCTTCTTTTAAGTATGTAACAAAACTCCCTGGCTTTCAGTATACTTGCAGAGGACAGATACACGACTAGAGCACTGACGTTTTTCAGCACTGTTCATCAGAACGGTGCTGTAGAAGAACCTACATGCTGCAAACTGTAAAGTCTGATGAACCACCCACGTCCCCAGATAGCCCATTGCTTCTGTGGCTGCAGCAGGATCCTATTCCTATTTAGGTGTTTACTGCTCTGATGAGTTACTGTGCTCCTGATGAAGGCTAGCTGCTCGGGGAGTAAGGATAAAGGAGACTGAGAAGCTACTGGGGCAAAGGAAGTAGCTTATGGAGGTTCAAGGCAGCAAAAGGCCCTAGGATAATCTTAAATTTCTACTCGCTGCATATGTATATAGCCTATACTGTAGAGAATAAAAGCTAGATTCACTATGTTTTAAAAGAAGGAATTGTTTTGTCTCTCTATCACAAATAACCACATGAGAACAGAGTGTTTCAAGTATGAGAGGGAATTACTCTCTTTAACGTGTATTTTCATTGCAGTTGAACTCAGAAAGAAAACATTACTGAAACAAGCATTACCCCAAACCAACTGCAGTCTTTTCACTTCCTTATCCAGCCTAGCTCTTGTGAGGTGCAATGCATTCCTAGTCCTATGCGCCTAGGAAAATGTTTATGTGACTGAAGTTTAATTTTCACATGCAGGACAAATGTACCTATATGCTGCAGCACATATCCCCAAATGCTATGGTAGAATTTATGTCAACAAGCATATGATCTAACAAAAACATGTCAGTGGGGTTCTTCGCTTCATGAGGAATGCAGGAACTGATCGGTTTGTAGTGAATACCCACAAACAGCACAAAGACTCAGTACTTTGGTAAAAATTCTTTTCCCTTCAGACAATTGAGGGCAGGTGAAATATTTTCAAAACCTGAGGCTACAAGATATACATATGCCATCTTGATTAAACATATGGAATGCATACTCAAAGAAAAGCCAACTGGAGTCCTAGTTGAGTAATCAAAACACCCAAGCTGAGAGAGGTTAACATGCAAGGATCAGCTCTGAACTTTGAAGTTTTCTGGTCTTCATTTTTCCTAATTAAGACAAGATTTAATAACCAAACCACTGTACAAACTATGTACTTAAACTCTGGGTTTGTTTCTAATTTTGTTGGGAATTCTTAGTAGATTCAAAAGAATCAGTACCCCCTGGGAAGTTCACCCAGTAAGGTGGATTGATTTTTTTTTTTCCTTTTCTCTTAGGTACAAGGGCCGAATGCCCGCTTTTCATCTTCCCTTATTTGCCGTTGCCGCTTACTTATAGTTATTAAGTAACCCTCAAACAAAAGAAGATAACTAAAGATCCATGATTAATATCTTTGAATAACTAGAGGAGCTCCAGCAAACAACTTTTGGAAAGCTATGTAGTAAGTGCAGAAAATGTTCTCCAGATAAAAGCATTTAATTGCTTGCATATCTTCATTTTAGAACAGGGAACAGCATCACATTTGTTGAAGAAACATTAGGTCCTGATATGTCTGTTTAGATTCTGCTGCTCTTTGTTTATTAATGGATGGTCCCTTTTCTTCTTTTTCCCTCCTTAAAATGATGTTAGCAATAGCACATTCTTCTCTTTCTCCTTATGTGGTAATTTTATATTGCCATAGAGATAACAAACTTTCATGTTACTAATTGACTTACAGAGAAAAAGTTGGTTTGATAAAAGCTGATTAAAAATTTCTCCAGATGCTTAATAAGTTTCTTACACAAAAAAAGATATATTTAATCAGCTGACTGAGTTCAAATGAGTTACATATTTACTCCACATACCAGTCCACAACGAGAAAACTTAAAATATAATTAAAAGACAGCTGAATGGAATGACTGCTGAAGCTCAAAAGTGTACCATAGAAAGTTGGATAGAAATCCAGTAATATTTAAGGTATCATTTACTGTTCAACAGGAAACCACCTGTAATTTAAACCTGTAAGATGCTTTGAGCCCTATTTTGTTGAATTGTATTCTTACTGATGTCAAGAACCGCAAATTACCTTTGCAGCGTATCTCAGAAGCTGAAAATGAAGACCTATAGAAATGTATACACCAACTATGCATAAACAAGATACTCATGCAAGAACCTGTCTACTGTTCATGACCATGTGGCACCAATACCTAAGCTTCCTTAGCAGTTTTCAACCTTTATTTCTGTTGGAAATTCCTTACTTTGGGAACTCACCTTATTCATGTGGATCTGCTGCTGGTACTGTTTCTGCTTCTCCAAAAATTGTTGGTGTTGCTGCTGGATGACCAGCTGGGCCAAAGTACTCTGAGGAAGAGGAGCTGACTGGGTTCGATTCAGTGGCCTGTGACGAGGCAGTTTGTGGGCAGCTCTTATGCCAGGTGAGACTCTCTCCTTCGCTGCTAAAGGAGACTGTGGATGAAGAGGAACCGCTCCTGCAAAACAGTGACATTTCATTCCCGTGTGAAGAACAACAAACTAATAGTTCTAGTGGGAGAGAAAGCTTTCAGCGAGAAGAGGGGCAGAACTTTGCATCAGCGCTGATGCAGTGGGACATGTACCACGTGCCTTGCCATGCTGGGAAGTTCAGCATCTGCAAAAGAATGTGATGAAGTAATCATTTTCTCTTTTCTGTAATCGCTGAATTCTTTCAGGCTAACAGACTGGAGCAGAATCACTAAAGGGGGAAAACAAAGATCCTGTCCTTTTTTCTCCTACCCCTCCACCTTTCCCAATGGTTAGCTTGTATTACCACATTTAGTTTAACGTGAGTCCAAATGCCTTCAAAAACATCTTAAATTATTATTGTGTTGAAGCCTTGATCATTACCAGTCACAAGAAGTTTTTGCTGTCTCATTTGTTCTTTCAGTAACAGATGCTGCAAGAGAGCTTGATGGCTGCTGTTTGGCTTTCCCTCCAAAGCAACGTGAGGATGAGTTGAGGACGGAGGAATGTTGCCCCCATACTGTCCAGCCAAGGCCACTCCTTGTCTGAGCGACTGGGTCTCCCCTTTCTGCTTTTCTTTGAATGACGATGAAGCCTGTCAAAGAACAACAGAGCTGGTAACTGCTTTTCATAGACCTGGCCGTTTATGTCTCTGCTTGGTTAGATGGTCTTATGCGACACTTTATGAGTACACACAGAAGAAAAGGTTAACATTCCTATCTTACACTTTGACTGTGAGATGTAATATAATATGAAAGGGAGGGAAAACATGCCAGTTAAATGTAACGCTGTGAGAAATTGAATAATGAAACCACTTGAAAAAAATCAGTAGTAAAAGCCAAAGCATAAGGAACTACTAGTTAGAACATTATTAATGAACAGACATGACCTATCCTTAAAATTCCTAAAGACCTTCCCACAGCCTCCTGCACAGGAAAATAGGAGATCAGAGGAAATAGTTTCCATTGAGTTTGGAATAGGCAAGGCTTGGTTTTTCACATAACTTTCCATCAGACAGCAAGCCAATCAGCAAAACAAAATAATTACCTGTAGTAGTGGGAAGCTATTACTTTTCCTGGAGCACTCCCTGACTCCCTGAAGGACAGCACAAATGTAAGTTTTACCCTTTGCAAAGTAAATTTTTATAGTTAAACTCTCATCTACAGAATCATCAAGAGCTGTTGTATGTGTGTGGCATTTTAAAGTGCCCTTATAAATTGCACAGTTATTGATTTAAAGCTTTTGGAAGTTTTGGCCCTTCAGCATTTCCAATGTACTTTATATTTCTTTGTTCTTTGTCTAGATTAAAAAAAATAAATATTTCCTAAAAGAGCAGTTAAAGCAGAATAACAATTTTTACAGCAAGAATAATAACCTGAACCAGAAATAAGCATGTTGAGGCTTGCAGATAACCACTTCTGGTATGTCATGGTAAGAACAGTATCTCTCATAATCTAATGTCCATAAATTCTAATGAGGCTAACCAAGGTTTTCACTAATATTTTTTGGGTGTATGGTTACTTCACACTCTGCTATCACCCCTCCCTGAAAAACGAACACCAAAGTAAACTTTACATTCAATTTGCAACTGCTTATTCTGGTACCAGAAATAAACATTACTTGCATAAATCAACCCCTTTGTTTTTTCTAATGCCAAAAGTAATATTTGGTGCTAGCTGGCCACATCAAAAGCTCCTGTGATTTCAGTGAGAAAATTAAACATATTTTCATTTCCATTTTAATGTTATAAAATTACTTTGAAGCTAGTTACATTTTTTGTGAAATAGCTAAGAAATTTTTGATGATATCGTCTGGAAAAGTAAGCACTACTTTTCATGATCTGTTCAATTTTCCTTCCTCTAAACCCAATAATTTGCTTATAAATATCTCATGAAAGGCTTCTAGAGAACTGATTTAAAGCTTACACAATTTTCTTTGCAAAGTTCTGTATCTGAAGTTAAAATGTTGGATTGCAGCAATATATTATTGGTAAGAACAGTAAATGTACTGAAAAAGCCACAAAATAACATGAAACTTTAACCTGAAACTACATTTAGCACTGGAATTAAGTAGCACTTATTAAAAAACATAGTGGATTGTACAGGTAGGTTTTTTTTACACCACGGAAAGCTGTACTTACACCCCTAGCATTTTTATAGAAGTTACCAATTCACATTCTAAGAAATTCAAATTGCTAAAATTTCTTCAGAATTTATACACTGTTGTATAGAACCACCAAATAACTTGTATCAGTATTTTTACATTTTTTGCTGGAAATCACAAAAGGTAAGTTTTGACTAGTGGCAAAATTTTCAGATATTTTACTGAGCCTCAGATTTCACCTCTAGGTTACTGTGACTTGGTCTAGATCTAAAGATCCTTATACATCAGCATGGATTTCTATACAGACCGTGTCTGTGTTTTCATACGTTTCACATATTAATTTAACATTTAGCTCTAAATAAAGGTGATTGCTGCAGACTGAACAAAGGGCATATGAATGTACCTTGTCATTAAAATACTGTGTCGTTCACATATCACTGATTTTATTTGTCTGATTGACCGCACACTCCTCAAATAACAAACCCAGCTGCAGGATTACTAGATTCTTCCCCTACTATGCTCCAGCCCAGCTTAGGTTGCTACTGGAATCTCATAAAATGTTACAGGTGCTGTACTTTATCAGGTAGGGGTGATCATGTAATTTGAACTTTTATACTAAAAGATGTCCTGATGTGCTTCTCACCATGTCTGAAATCTGTCATCTGATTTGCAGACATAAATGCAATGCATGTGGCACATTTTTACCACACTGGCACTTGTTTATTTGTGATTAAGAATGATTATTGCTTTCAAGTTGTGCCCTTAAATGTTCAGATGTTGCCCAATCCAAAGGAAGGTCTGGTTCCTACTCTGAATTGCTTATGTTCCAAAAATGCTAAAAAAAGAGAATAACCAGAAAGTAGGATTTCTGGAAGCAAAAGTAGACAGGAAGGCTTGCGACAGGTCACTTACACTGATTTGAGGTTGTACTGCTGGAAGTCCCAAGGTGATGTTGGGCAGAGAAGGGGATGTGTACAGACTCAACAAGTTCACTGATTCATCCTGTATCAAAAGGCGTTGCTGTGAAACCAGATGCTGGAATAAAAGGGGAAAACAACAGAAGTATAATCTCCAAGCTTTTTATTTTCATTACTTAATCCTCATTATCCTACTATGTTGGAAGCCAGTTATGTATCATGCATTGGTTTGCATCTCAGTGGGGTTCCACATAAGGAAAAGTACTGCCCCTGTGAAAAAGCTGTTGATATTTCTTTTCTTAAGAAAACGACTGAAATATGTCTGGGATTATTCCTTGGTTAGTTAATCAACTTTCCATGCACAACTGAAATCTTGAGGATTCCTAGAGCATCTCTTCTCATCAACTTCTCATTAGCTCAACATCAGTTCTTCTCATCAACTCACACTTTTCACACTTTCAACCCTGTGGGAACTTAGCCAATGAATTAAGGAGTATATCCAGCCAAATCAAAGGTGTCATGAATATGGATGTACTAGACCTCTACTTTACTGTGGTTATTGTAATTTTTTATTGTAAGGTATGAAATGTGGTTTCTACCTAGCCCATGTATTTTCTTACCCAGATTTGTGATATGGGGATGTTGCAGGCACATGATTTACTTCCATTGACATGGGAACTTTGGGTAGAAAGTGAGGCAGATTGCCACATCTGTCATTTAAATAAATAAAAATACTGTCTCTGTATATGCTTATATACAAAACCAGCATCCTATCATTCTCTGATGGTGGGATACCCCTCACAGCCTTCCTAATTCCCTTCAAGTTAAAATCTTTAACACTTCTTTTGAAGCCTTGTGATGTAATTTTCAAGGACGTGGAATTGCCGATGTATTTTTAATTACTGTCAAGTAAAACCAGACATTCTACAGAGATCACCCTCTGCCTTTCCATTCTACATTCATTGGGAAGAAACATAAAAAGTTACATTACCACAACAGGAATCTTTTTGAAGCCTTTGCCTTTCTGCTTTAACAGTCATGTTTTTCAACATGTGGTCTAGTGTAGTTGCTTGAATTACATTTTCTGTTTAACTCTTGCTTCCCTCCCAGAACTTTAACACAATAAGAGCTACAAAGGTCTTATTAGACTTAGGAACTCTGGCATGATATGGTCCCCAAGGGAACAACATCCTTGAAAAAGAATACCCTGTGTAACAGTATGACACAGTGACTGCTTTCTTCCCAAACAAAAAGCATATGGGACTCCAATAATAGACCACCTCCAAGAGGGATACTGCACACTCGGGCTTTGACTAAAGTAAATATAATAACTTGTCAAGCATGTTGTGGGGAGCTGTAGATTTTCCCCTGGACAAACCTGGAATATCAATTAACTCTGTAAAATACTTTGTGCTAATACAATGCAACTTCAGACCATCAATGAAGAGTGGTTAAGCACAAAAACACAGGATGTTATTCCAAAACATAACCTTCCTCATACAGTTTGTTTGGAGATACGACCTATCACTGAGACAATAACAGTAGAAGTCTATCTCTGTAATTTTCTTTTGGTACCTAGGGAGTGTCAACAGATAGCGTAGGAAACAAAGAAGCTTCACTTGCATATTACATTAATTCCTGGCTAACAGCCTTGATAACGTCCACCTTTGACCATGAATAAAACCAAGTATGTCAAGACTATGGAGATACTATTGAGGGAGATTACAAAGATTTAACTAAAAAAGGACACTGCAGCAACTCTAATGAGTTTCCTAGAATATAATCAAGTTTGTAGCAACTGCAGCATCTATACAGAGCCACTTCAAAAATACATGTTTCCTTTTTGGTTTTCAGTATGCCACTATTACCTTCTAAGATTTGAACGAACAAACATAGCAGCGACAAGGTGCACGGCAGTAAAGCACATTCCCACATGAAGGTCAGGCATGATTGTTTCATGAGGCAGAATCCATCACATTATGTACCATGGGAGTTTAATGTTGAAAACAGGAATTGTTTTGTGGTTGGTTTTTTTTTTTTTTGTAAGAGCATTTCCATCCCATTTTTAATACTGCTTATAATCAGTAACTTTCATTTGTGGAGGTAACTGAGTTTTAAAAATATTTTCAGGTAATATTAGCCTAAGTGTCAGTTAAACCTCATCTCCCAAAAGAAGTTTAGTAGCCCACCTGCACAGATTACGGTCCTGTATATGCTGAGGCACGACTGCATGACCCCAGCTGCAGCTTCTCTTTTTACACAGTTGACAATACCTTGGCACAGTGGCACAAACTGGAGTTGCCAGCAGTGTCATTTGGCAGCACAATGGCTAAGCCATGGTCCTCCTACAGGCAGACTTGATGGTTCGGACTGGCACCTAAATTACCCCAAAGAGCAACTGCCCTACTTGCTCCTCTATGTACTTACTGGGTCCATGGATCCTGCTTCCCGATGCTTAAAATATCTTGTCAACCTAGCTACCTTCTCTCTCAGAATAGAATACAATACCTAAATGTAACAGTACATGATGATCTCCAAGTAACCACGATTAGTTATTGTACTTCCGTTTTGGTACCGGGACCTGCTGAGAAGCAGGAACACCCATTTCATGTGTGCATGTTTATACGCACATTTACAAACTAGGTGGGGAAGAGGAATCGGTTTGGCTTTAGTAATTCTAAACTGTGGAGCTACAGTAAGGTTGTCAAAGCTTTGAATATTCCCAATTACATTCTTATTTCTTGAGGCTTTTGTGTCATTTTTTTGCTAATTAATTAGGCTCTCTCCCCATACACTTGAAGCAGACCTCACCAGCTGGTCAGAAACCTGCCACTAGCCACTTGCAAAGAGCACCTCAAGGAGATGAGTATTAGAAACATAGTACTGAGGGGTTTCACAAATCAAGTACGTGTTTATCTGCCATACGTGTCAGTTATGTCTCCCATATAATCAGGAGATATGCTAGGAAATGCTGCTCTGCAAAGCTCAAATGAAAGGGAAAGAAAATGATCTGAAGCCCACTTATACTAATTGGAAATGTTCCATTGCGTTCAATGGCTTTTGACCAGGCTGTGAATGCCTAATATTAATCATTTCACATGACTAAGGCAGGTTGTCCCTCTGAACTCAAGGGACGTGCTGTGCAGGGGCTCAATCCTGCTTGCATTTCTCAAGTAAGTAAGATTTAGCCCCAGCACAGTAGGTGACCTGAAAGTGTCCGACATGCTACAAGAGACAAATAGCTACTGCGGTGAACCTTGATGATACTGGAGACAACTGGGCCTAATAAAAACAGCATTTTATTTATAAGGTGCAATTAAAATCTTGAGTTGAACTTTCAAGTTTCATATAATGAGACCAGTGTTTTAACAAACGGTACTGAAAGTACCATTAAGGGAACTGTGATAGTAAAAGATTATCTGCAGAAACGTAGCATTTGCAGTGCACCTTTGTTCATTCAAAAAAATGTAAATGTCTACCCACCAGACTGTCTGCTCCGGAGGGTAAACCACTTAAAAGTCTCACTATTCAAATGGATATGGCAAAAATACTCTAAAAATCTGTTTCATTACTGATAATGCTCTAATTCTGTCCATGCACTAGAGTATAATCATTTACGGTATTGACTCATGCTTTACTGGTAAATGGCTCTCTGTCATAGCAACCTGTTTTCCCCCAGCAAAAAGTGTTTTATTTGCTGCCATGAAAACTGCGGCTATCCACCCACTCAGATATGAGCACAACACTTACTGCAAATGTCAAAACAACGATTATGAAACAACAGCAATGTGAGTCATGCGGGATTACAGCAAAACAAGTGATATTTTGGGTGATTTGGAACTCTTATCCTATTATTAGAAACTTCTGTACTTTGTGTATCTGATGAAAAATTGATTAGATACATAGCCTTTGAGAGCTGGCAGCTAGTGCTAAACTGGAAAAGAGACATGTAGCAGTCTAGCTGCTGTTAAACTACCAAAAAAAATCCCACTGAAATCAAAATGCATTGAAGTTGAGATTTATGGAAAAATGTTTGAGCCCACAGGACCACAGTATTAACAGTCAAGTAACCAGAGAGGTAATCCCCGACTGGATCCACAAATGGAAGTCAGTAGTTTCAGCTTCTTAGCACACTTCTAGCGAGCTAAGTGACCGACTCCAGCATGCAGAGCCCAATTTTTAAAGGAACTTTTTAGGCTCCTTTGAGCATCTGTGATCGTATGGTGGGGCTGTAACTCCTGATGTCTGGCACAGTAATGGCAAATGATATGCCATTAATGTTGTGTTCTATTAATTAACAGAATATAACTGCTGGTTCTTGCTATAACCTTTCCAAATCTCCCCAAACAAGAGATTGCCAGCCTGACCAGATTGTATGCGGGCAAGCATCCAGAAAGCATAACATGCCAAGTAACACGCACCGTATACCAGTCTGAGACATTATTCCCTTTGCATTTTGTAGCATCCTCAAGTCAATACAAGATCCAATTGGACAAGATTTCCTGTTTAGTACAGCACTAACATCCACATATTACAAACTTCCACCTAAAACATTCCCAATATTAAAATATACCACTTAATTCCACTGAACTAGGATCCGATCTAATCCAAATGATGGATCTTACTCTGCATCATTTAAGTTTCTTTGCAATCACATACAGAGGGGCTATGAGGCAAGACCACATGTTAGCCATCAATGCAATTTTTTTTTTTTTTTTTTTTTGGTTACGGGCCAGAGAGAGGCTACTAATCAGTGTGCAGGGGTCACCCACCTGCCCCCTGGATCATAGTTCACACACACAATTAATTCATTATGGGGAAAAGTCACTGCTGGAGGTTGAACTGCTCATTCCAGGTTTTTTTGAGGTGAATGTCCTGCCACTGACCTGGAGAAATAGCTCCATTAGCTAAAACTCTGCTAAATCACATTTTCTTATGCAGTTTTTCTAACATAAACAGTACAAACCAACAATTAATAGAAAACTTTGCCGCCAAAGCAGGAATTGCTGTAAGTATAGGTACTGGATACAGAATACTGTGGAATTTGGTTCTCTCTCAGTTGCATTAGTTTATTGCCCCTTACAATATCACCATGGAAAGCATGACTTAGGCATGTCATCTATGCTAAATGAGGTTTATCACAACTGATTTACCATCTGCATTCCTGTTGTTATAGGCACGTATGTATGAAACAGAACAAGGAGCAGTTAAGATTCTTTCTGTGTACAATCTTGTTTTACAAAACAAGTATCCAAGACTCCTGGCATGTCAGTTATGTTGGTAAGTACTGACCTGATAAGGAAACTGAGGTACAGTAAAATAAAAGGCAGATATGAAAAAGGATTTAGTACCTAACTCTGATACTGTAATAAACTAAATCTACTTCAGCAGCCATCTGAACCTGGGACCACCGTAACTCAAATGCGCTAGGATCACCAATGCCTAAATCAATCTTGCACGTGAAAGTTCTTCACCAGCGTTCAGCACTGCGCACCTCTTCAGGCTATCCCAGAAGGTAATGTTCTGCAACACAGATGCTTCCGAGTTCCTTCCATAGCTCCCTCCCACTCTTCCAGTAGTATTACTGGTGCTTTTTGTTACAAAAGAGTCTCCTGAATGTGCATCTCATATATGCTGGCCTCCTGAACATCCATCTCAGATATGAAGATGTCTTTCATATATAACATACTCTGATGTCAGCCTGCAGTGTCCTGGTGTCCCTGATAATTATATCTTCTGCAATTACTCTGCCTGTGAGTATGAACAAACTGAAAAGTTTCAAATCTGTCCAGTCTAGAAATGTGTCTACCCAATAAAGAGAAGGAGTCTTACCTCAGCTTGAATGTTAGACGGCAAAACTGAGGTTTCATTTTCTGTTACACTGCTGGTCTGACCATTGCTTGGGGAACTGGGACCTGATACAGGGGAGCTGCTACTGGCTGAGGATTCTGCAAAACAGATTAAGCATACATGAATTTCACACTGGAAAGGAACATGTGATCTTGATTAATTGTATACTCTTTATGGCACAGGGGTTTTTTTTGCTGTTGAAAAGTATCTATCAGTTACGCTATTTACTTACATTAAAGATTTTAAACTCATCCTCCATTTCTTTTGGTTTTCCTTTTACAGTGCTAGCAAGGAAAGATACTCTTGGTCTTTCCCCTTCTGATCTGCTTCACAAAGGAAGAAGGGGCTATTTATTTTTCCCACAAAGATGGTATGATACTCAGTATTAGGCAGAGATACAGACATCGAACTTGTAATGAGTAACAAGAAAATGAAGTCTTTTCTTTTTAATTGCAAAGACTCCTGACTCTGTAAGACATCAAAATGACAGAGATAGCAGGCTTGCAAAGGTCATGATAACATGTCGTCAATTCATGAGGCCTAGTGCCATCTCCTTTCTGTTTAGAAAGGGGATGAGCATGTTGCAGAGTAGGCAGGACATACGCAAGTAATAACGGCAAAATACACACCACTTCCGCTACATCTTTGGCACAAATACGAAGGAATATTTACAGCATATGAAAAACTTAAAATAGCATCTAAAAGGCTGTGTGTTACTTTGATTTAAAATTTCCTGAGTTCTGTCTAAGATAAAGGGGAAGAGGATGATCTGATTGTGTGTTGTTGTTTTGAGTTATTCTAATCCTACACCGATACAAATTGAATTTACATAGCTGGAACAGTTAACAAGGTTAAAGATGGAAGAGTGCAGCATTAGTAGAGGTAAGCCTGTTTCATGCAATAGCTTTCAAATTAAAGTACTCAGGAAGTTAAAATAATTAATATCTAAATGTGGCAGTAAATATTCTATAGCCACCTCTTTGCTTCTTCACTCTTCACTCCTTCTGTTATATATCCTCACTTACTCACTCACAACTGAAATTGCTGGGAGATTTTCTAGCTGTTTCTTGGACCTGTTGCTCATTCCTACTAGAGCTGACTTCCATTTAGTGAAGTGAATCCATACCCAGCTACACTAACTAGTCAGGTAAAGTTCTAGCATTGTATTCTCACTAGTTTTCATGGAAAAGCAGAAACACAAACTTATTCTTTTTTCTCAGTTTTTTAAAAATTACAATAGCATGTTTTGTATAAATAGGCATTTAAATAAAGGGCTATTTTCAGTTAAAAGAATTCAGATACATGTCTGACAGACTAGTATCAGTTGGTTGCATAAACATGTGGTCTGATTGTAACATCATGTAAACAAACCATGAAGCTACCAAATATCGATGCAAAATCAAAGCAAGAAACGTCAGAATGAGGTGAAATACTGTAAATTACTACAAATGTTCTTTTCTTTCAAATCAACAGATAAGGCCTTGGCAGCATACTAAACCTAAGGACTAAAAATGAGAGGACTTTAGGCTGTTTGGAAACTCACATGCAATTCTGCAAAATAACATGTGACAAAATTCACCACTCTGCAATACCAAACATGTGAAAGAAAACCTTAGCATCCACAGTTCATCCACCCTGTCACTTTCTAACTTAAAAGGCAGAAAAAATATTGAAAACAAATACTACTTGATGACAAATTTTTACTTTGCTTTTTTTCCCCTTTTAGTCCCCCCATATGCATAATTCTGTATTTTTACATGCTAAAAGTTCCCTTTCCGTTACTAAGAATACTTACTATCTGCTATGACCAATAATATGCCACTAAATATTTAAACATTTCAACTCTTTCTTCTCAAAAAACTGCTTAGTGAGCTCTTACATCAAAAATATCTAATCTTGACATTTTCAAGCAAGAGAAACCAGTGGGATAGGGCCAAATGCAGGATTCCTTTTGGAAGGAATCCTTCCTTGTCCTTTATTAACCTAAGTAATATCACATAGGTGTTTTTGCACTTTGTATTAGCATCTGCATTTTCCATGGGAGATAGGAAGTTGAAGATGCAAGACCCAAAATGTTGTCCACATACAGAAGACACAAATTAAGGGAAGAGACTATTCTTGTTTTCTCCTTTGACGTTCTTTGCCACCAACAGTCTACCATTTATTTGTTCTCATACTTGCTGTTGTAAAGTACTGGTTTCCAAGCTGGTTTGAAAGTACAAGCTATTTATACACAACCATTTAATACGGTTTTCTTTTCAGCAGCAGGAAAAAAAAAAAAAAGGATACAACCTTCTGCTTGGCAAACAGTTTCAATTCCAAAATACCACCACTATTCCGTGAGCAGTCGCAGTTGATACAGAATTTCTCTGTTCTTAATTACCTGTCATCTCAAAGAGTCGCTTCTTGAATGAACTGACAACATTTCCATCCTTCCTCCTGAGTAAAGGACTGCTTCTCCTTTCTGTCACCTTTTGTTTTAACCGTGAACGTACCTTCAAATTGGGCTCTGAAGCTGGAAATGAAGAGAAGAAAATAAATGATTACAAATCAAATTACTGCTTTGTGTCAGACACCACTGACGTTTCCTGTAGGACCTCATGTGATCCAAGGAGGGCTTGGAGGCAGAGATTTTGCTGCCCATCCTCCCCAGCCATCCTGCTGCTCCTCATACAACTCTATTTTAGATTGGAGGCTAGGAAAGAGAGGAAGAGAGCTAAAAAGCTTCAGATCCCAGTACTGTTCTCATTCTGTTTAAACACTGGTTATCCATTAATTATTGTTAATATCGTAAATATTAATTAAAGATAATGCAAGTTTTATTCTACATAATTTTTATCTGTCTTGTAGGTGAAAACTTGGATGGAAATACAGCTTGGAACTTGGAACCTTATAATTGGATTACAGTCTGATGATGGAAATAGAGAGAAGCCTCCACTGGTTCCTTTTGATTTCTCTTAGAAATATAAATTACAACAAGCCTTGCTGGCAGAACATTTCTTGGTCAGCAATTTTAGGCCCAGAACTTCAATGTTTTCTGAGTAACACAGCAAACAACTAGATTTATGACAGTGTCCTAAGAACATTTACACAGAAAAATATATGCTCTGAAAATGAAGAAGTAGGACTGATTCCCAGAAAACCTAGGATTATATTTAATGCACCTTGGGCAAGTTCCACCTTTGTTTCCTAAATGGACACGGTCTTTTCATATGAAGGCCAGAGATGAAGCTCTGCTGTGCTTTTTATTTTGTTATATTTTTAGCATCATAAAATGTTTCATGTACTCACTTATCTGCTTTCCTAAGTAGCCCGTCTATCAAAAAAACTGCTAAGAGTTAGTGAAAGATAATTGTGGAATAGAATTTGTTTATATTTCCCTTTCTGGAACTGGGGCTTGGCTAAGCAATATCTCAAAATAGAGGGAGCTGGAAACTGTGATCAGTTCTCTCTCCTATGTACAGACCTAAGCCCAGCCCTGAAGAAGAAGCAAGAGTTAGTACAAAAACCAAAATAAATTAAATCTTCATTGAATTCAGTATTATACCATTTGTCACTTTGGGGTAGGAACTCAATCCTACAGTTCTAATTCCAGTTCCTGCCCAGCATGTAATATCACACATCTGTTTCCTGCTGCCCCACTTGATCCCTCAAGGATGGGGGCATTAGAAATGCCCACGCGAGAACAAAGGGGCTGCACCTCCGCCAGGGTGCTGCTGTAACCTGCAGTGCCTGCCCTCATACGCTGGCCTTTGTCATGCACTACATCGCCCCTGGCAAGCACTCCCTTCTAAGTGGTCTGTGCCTTCAGTGCATTCCAGACCAAGATACACGGGCTAGCACAACACTGGAAATCTCGAATGATAAAAATATTAACAAGAAAATTATTTTTTATCACTTACTACCATTGTTAAGATCAATGGGTCTAGTGATGGAGTACAGATGACTTGTTTGCTGTCTAAGATACCCTTTGCTATGAAACTGAAAATTTAAAATATAACAGTGGGCTAAGATTACACTACATGCTTTCACCACAGATCTCACCCAGGTATGATGACATTTGGAAGAAAAGGTGCTTGCTCCTACATAGGAAAATATTTCCATACCCATGACAGACTAATGTGATACAAATCCTCTGCAACACCCACTGGAGAAATGCTCCGCTTGGATATGAATGCTTCATGCTCAGTCACAGCAATTGCCTTTCTATTTTTACTACATTTCCATCATATTCAGCATCTGAATCAATCGTATAAGCAGAGAAAGTAGACTTTGATGTCAATGTCCGAATTTATGAGCCATCTGAGAAGACAGCCCTTGCATGAAATATGAAGATGATTTTTAAATGGAAATAGTCAATTTTAAAACGAAAAGGCATGGAGAAGAGTGATTTTTAAATTATAAAATAAACCTTCTAATAAAAAACAAAGCCAAGGTTTGAAGAGTGTTTGTTTCAAATACTGGCTTTCTTGAACATCTCCCATGAGACACTGCCAGCTCCTAACATGGTACCAGTTAGGACTTGATGCTGGCAATAAGAATTCAGGTTTCAGCGCACTAAATATATAAATTTAACCGATTTGAGGATGTCTGCTCCAATGGAAAAAATGCAGAACTGGGAAGTGGTTTCTTGATACTCGTCTGTGGGTGTGTGACTGTAGAAGTCACTGTACCAAGCTGCCCCACCGAAGCAGAAACAGAATTATTGTTGACTGCAACACGTATGGATCACAACAGCAATCCTATGTGCTTCAGTGCACTCCTACATGAAGGCAGTAATAACACATTGGTAATTGTCAACTCTGTTCTGATAATTAAAAAGGCAAAATCAAGGATTTTAAGCTTCAAGGATAGGCCTGTGAATTAAAATTTTAAACATATATACATATATATATATATACACACAGACTGCCCCAAAGCACACACATGAGATTATTTAGAAATCATTTTAATCCTTTAAACTCTGAAACTCAAACAAGTGAGCAAAAAGTAAAAATAAATTTTTCATTTTTTTTGTTAAAATTAATTTGTTCCCCTAGTATTTGCAAGGCACTTGGAAAGCCTTAGTGGGAAATGGTGAAGAATTATTAGGATTAATCTGCTTTATGTTTCAAATGAGCATTTGGTTCAATACTTTAACTAGTGGTTCTTATAAGTGGTCTATAGAGGGATAATGCTCAAAATAACTGTTTTGCATTAGCCACTCCTGTGAGTATTTCTGCTGCAAGCTATTAGCACCTTTGCTCAGCTTAATTAATCCACTGTCAAGGTTGACTATGTTCATCAGCCAAAGGCATTCTCCATGTGGAACGGAAGTGTCACAGGGGGAGCCAGTGCCAAATAACTTCTGAGGCTAAAGCTTTACTCACCAGCTTGCTGCAGAGTAGCTTCCTCATGCAGCTACAAGCCCCTAAGAATGAACCTTTTTTTGCTCCATTAATACCACAAAATGATTGAAAAGACCTTCATGGAGTTTATTACTTTATGTGGTGTTCCAACCGTAAACCAAGACTCTGACTCAGCAAGATAATTAATGCATATGGCTAACTTTCTGTACACCAAGCATCCCACTGTGGTCCAGGACTCAGAACTAGATTAATTCTACCCCACACAGGATACATCCTGTATCTCACCTTCCTGAGGAAACGGGCCCTCTCTAAAGTGCTGGAGGTGCTGAATGAGGTGGGGTTTGCTGGGTTAGATGCCTGCAACTACAGTGGGCTGAATCATCTGACCAAAGAGACAGAATGCCAGAGACAAGAGGAAAACAAGAGCACATGGCCAAGAGTGTGGCAGATGAGGAAAACAGGACTGTGCGTTTTCACTGCAGCAGGCTGGTAGGTTGGGCTATTCATCTAAAATCCTGCTAAGAACCAGTATACATCTGATATTGGTCTGATTGGTGACTGCTAGCCTCGTGCCTTTGCTCCACAAATCTTTGCGCTTCTACTACATTTAGCACTTTGGAACAAGTAATAATCAGTTCCCACTTGGAGAAAGGGAAAATACATTATTTGAGAGTGTTCCATTGCAAAGACAACAAAAAGACACAGCTATTTTCTCTGAAGGCCATCAAAGCCCATGTCATTGATCTCGATAGCAATCAGCTGACACCCATTTGAGTGATGCACTTGAGTGGATTTCAGGAAAGACTAGCCTGAACATGACTTTGTTTATATAACTGCAGCATAATTTGGAATAATGAGATGTTGCAGTAACATGGCTTCTTCAGTCTCATTACTATTCTCTTTTTAGTGCTGGTAATAATGAACTGGTATTACTCTTTAAATGACTGTAAGTGGGAAACAGGTATGAAAGATACAGAAAGTATTCATTTAAACAACCAAAGATATCACAGGCAACCCAAGGTTCAGTTACCACACTCCTTGGCATGATTTGTAATTACCTCTACAGAACTGAGAACTTTGGTCCTAGCTGAAGAAGAAAGAGAGCACCTCAATGATTCTTCTCACCTTTTATGGCGGCTTCATATAGGAGGAAAGAAGTAAGTAACTGTACTGCTAAAAATAGAAAATATACAGGCCTCTATATAGGTACACGTTAATTTCATCACAATAACCATTACTGCTCAGGTTTGAATCTCAGAATAGAAAACTATTCTCTCCTGTGTAACACGATACTGAAACACAAGCATGAGAGATAGAAAAATGATTCGGTGAAGTCATTATGTCCTATACCCCACTTTGCTTAATATTAGCAATTTGCAGATACTAGCATTAAAGAATATAGCCTGGGGCCAGATTGCTCCCAAATGAGCTGAGGTTTTTTTGACAGGGCTTTGCTTCACTGTTTCTTTTTATTAAACACACAGAGATATTTAAGAAGAAGGGATAAAAATCCTTTCTACACGTGGGGAGAGGACATATATATGAAGGGAATGTAAAAGATAATAATGCACTACTTTCTGATGGTTCCTGGAACACAGTACTACTTTTGTATCAGAAGAGCGTGTGCCAACTTCAAATCAGCATTTAATGAACCCAGGCAGGAAATGGGGGATGGGAGAGGGTGCATAGCAAGCAGGTCCTCATCTCGAGGCTAAAGCCATATATAGGAAACCTGAAGAACAGAAAGTGAGCTTTTGTCCAGGCTTCGAAGGGCTCTACAGTGAAAGCATTTCCTTTTCCTCGCTGGCAAGCTGGCTTAGAAAAGCTGTGGGGCAGTCGAGGTAAAGGATGCTAAATTTGGCTACAAAGCTTCCAACAACAGCAAGAGCAACGGCGGCAAAATTCACATCTTACTTGAGAATGATAAATTGCTCCCTATTGCCCAGGCACCAGCTGTTATCACTAAGATAATTTTAAAGCAGTAACTCGGATTTCTCTATGAAGTATTTAAGTCAACAGAAACAATTAAGAAACAAAGAATTCATGATCTTGAAGTAAATCTTCACTGGTATTCGCTATTTCTTCAGGTGTCATATTTTAAGCTGTGAAGGGTCATATATTATACTGATTTGAATATATTCTATGCTGTACTCCATGCAGGAGTTAT